TACTTTGAAGATGGTCTCTTTTATGTTAACATTTCAAGCCATTCTCTTGTGATTTTCGATCTGCGTCCAGAACAACACTTTTTAAGGTCTAGGTCTAATTTCTTCGCTTTGAGAACTTAAATCAAATATGACATTAATCACTTCGTTTGACAGTTCTCTGGATTCGGTATCATCTTTTCTAATATATTTTCAGAATTTATCGGTATTGATTTTAAACATTTGCTAAAAAGAAATTATATGGCTTTACAATTTATTTTTTTGTTTTATTCACTAAAATATCTATAATCTGTATCCATAATATCTACGATTCTTAACACATAGGGAAAATAAATATGGTATAATTAAAAAAAACATTAAACTATATATGATTTGTATTATATACTCACTTTCCAAACATATGTGTATGTTCCACCATTTTGCTATACTTGAATCGTATTCTATATATCTATTCCTTTTGCTGCTTAATGAAAGCATACTGTAAAAGCAAAAAAAAAAATAGATAAATAAATTATAGATTCTTATGGGACATAAGCTTGACTAATTTGAAATCTCAATAGGCAAACATTGCATAAATATTAATGGAATAAGATTGCGTATATGTTGTAGATAAAAAGTTAGCATAACTTAACTGAAATATCTACCTGGAATGTTTTTAGAACAAACCACATTCCTGAGGTGCGCCACAAGTATGTAGTTTCGATATAAAATTGCCGTAGGCAATATTTTTTCAATTTTATCATCAAATTTGAAAGGAAATTCTAAAGGCAACAAATTAAAGAAACGTCATTGCAAAGCATAAAATAAACATTTTTAAGGCCAAGGTATTTTCGACAATAAAAAAAAATATCAAAAAACGATTAACAGTGAAATTTTGTTTAAAAATTTCAAAATATATACAATGAATAAAAATTAATTTCATTTATTTTTATATTTTTATTGTTGTGAAATTGGTTTAGTAAAATCACTGGTAGTAATTTTATGAATAAAATGTTTTCTTTTTCTTTTATTTTAATCCAATTTAAAATATTTTTTTTTTTAATATGAGCCCGTGCAACAAATATTCATTGAAAAATATTATTAAAAAACTATGTAACAATGAACTATTATAATAAAAAAAAATGTTCCATCATGACTTGTGATGTGATATTGTGTGCAAGGCATAAAAAATTATCAACTGGAACGAATTAAAAAATAACTATCGTAATTGTAATCCAATACGGAAGCAAGTCCAATGCACGCGTACCTTAGCATTAAATTATTGCCGGTTCTTTACAGTAATTACATATTATACAATACATATGTGAAGACATATATGCACAATAAACTATTTATCTATTTTTTTTAACCGCAGATCTGAGCTCGTATATGTAATATATTATCCATATCAGAGTGAGTGCAAGGTAAAAACCGCTAAGATACTCGTTACTTATTACTCGTAGAAAGTCAACTATTGAAGTTGATGATTTTCAATGTTAATTACATTTACTTACAACCTTTTTTCCCCGCCATTTGACAATTATTACAGTTTTTGTGTTTTACAGCAGAAAAACTTGCTGCTATGCAACTCCACATTATTTATTAACACAAATAAAAATGTGAGCGAAGACGTTGCATTTAATGTAAGCTTATTTTTCATGCACAAGAATTACGCTAAATTCTTCAGATACTCGTACTTTATTATTCCAGTTTTAATTTTATGCTCGATTAAAAATTGTTATATCCTTTCCACGCCAAGGTATCTCCGGCACGCAAACTTTGACTTGTTTATTTAATGGTTTTACTCTGTCCTATACCGCATCATAAATTTTTTAATATCATATTTACGATTAAAAGAAAATTAAAATATTTGCAATTTACAACTGACCTCTCTCTATTCCTCATTATTTCTTCAATGAAATATGGTATAGTTTAATATTAATTATATTCATTGGCATTTATTTTTAAATAGCATATACTCGCAAACGATGCATCATATTAACGTTAACAATTAACTATCTATAATTATAAAAAAATATGCAATATAAATAATTATATTATGAAGTATTTAACTACTACTTATATTCAATTTGTTAGAATTATATATTAAATGACAGTCAAACACACAAGCAATAATAAATTCATATAATAAATGTTGTTTATAATATTAACATATATCATGATAATAAATATAATATTAGTATAAATCTTATATAATTTATTGACGTTATATGAATTATTTCATTTTATATTTATTATTCCTTTCACTCATGTATATAATGGGTACAGAAAGCCTTCAAACTAGGTTAATACGAAACTTCTTTAATTAGTTACAAGTCTTCATTCCTTCCACCGTGAAGGGAGTAGCCTCTAAAACTCGAAATATAAGCCTTTTATAAATCGTATTTATTTTCGACATCCTTTAATGCTATAATTCGAAGTTTTGGAAAGCTGACCTCTACAAGTTCATTTTTCTTATTTTGAATTTCAATCACTAATTATGCTTGATTTCGAGGAATTATGCTATCACCTACATACAAAATATCACTATTAATGTTTGTTTATATAAGAATATAATTTACAAATAATAGTGTAAACATATTATTATTTCCAAAAAATAGTATACAGATATTACACTTTTGCAATAAATTGATATAAGACACGAAATAAAAATATTATATGCAGTTCAAATCACATATTATGTTATGTAAACATACATATGTACACATATACATATACCCATACATGTATACATATCCATATTTAAAAAATATGTTTTATATTAGAAAATATATTTATTGATTAAAAAATAAATTAAAATATACAAAACTTGGTAAATTAAAACTTCCATTATTCGAACGGGTTCGCTTATCTATTGGAATTCGAATTACAGTTTATACTGAGCTTGTACTAAATTTATACTTAAATTGTTCTAAATTTATACCAAATTTGTACTAAAGTTATACTAAATTTGTACTAAATTTATACTAATTTTCAATTTCGAAAATCGCATCGCAAATATTAAAATCAAATCGATATAATAAATCAATATGATAATATGCATTTGTCTGCTGTTTTTCTCGTAAGTAAGCAACTAACAGTCCTATAGTTAAAAAATGTGTATTAAAATTTTACCATACATAAGACTTTGGATGAAAATTTGAACATTAGTTGAAAAGTCAAAATCTATAGAAAGTCACATCAACTAAGTTAAACGTTTAGGATGGACTATTGATAAACCTAACAGAGAGTACTAGGTGCAACATTTTTTGCTTGGTTTTCTAGATTTGATCCTGTATTGACCCAAACATACATCAAATATGATATGAATATGGCTGTTATTAAAACTAATAACGACTTTAAAACAATCTTCTGTATGAGCGTAGTGGTTAATCACATCAAAACACAATTCATAAATTTTAGCCATGGCTACTGACGAAAAGTTATCACATATTGTTTTGGTAAAATCAAACATTTTCTCTTTTGGTAATAGGAACGTTCTTCGGTAATTACTGGTATTACTTATATTTTGTAATATTGCTTTGTATATTTCTCTATTTTCTCTTACAACACAGAGGATTCCCTTTTAGAATTCACTGTTTCGTTAATTCTTTGTGTCTTAGATTATAATAGTGGGTGCACGTTTTATCAACTATTATATACAAAAAGTAACTGAGTTCAAGATTTAGCTGGCAACGTTGCGCTATTAATGATGATAATACACAAAAAGTACATTATGTTTTGATTTGATTATCTAACACTCAACAGAACCTAATATATGCTGAAGTAATTGAGTTTTGATCTAACATTAAAAATCGCGACACCTAATGCATATACTATACCTCACGGTTAAATATTCAATATTTTCAAAATTTCTTCAAAAGCCTTAGTAAACTCTTTAATTTTTTTCAACGATCAGACAATACAATTAGTTGAATGTTAGATGTTTTGGCAGTAGCAGAAGTTTTTCAACATTCTAGTGGAACCTCTTTCAAAATTAGTTGGCTACCTGAGGATGCGAAATCTCCGTAAACTATTGATAATTAATTCTTTCTTTTTAAGCTATGAGAAAACATAGCATTTTATTTGAAAATGCTTGAAGTCAACTGATGAAAAATATCAAAATTTTTTTTTGACAATGATAGACTATAATTATCAGGGTTATATTTTAAAGCATTGTTTATAAAGTCGACAAAATAGCATCGCTGTGAAGCATCTGCTTTATTTGCGGGACTCCAAACACACAGTATTTCAATATTAATAGTATTGTTTAACTATACAATACCTACTGAACTTTTTAAATACATTATTATGAGTTTACATTGAAAAGGCTTATACAGGGTTATTTTCAAACATAAGGACTATAAAGAAAATGCACGTTATGTAGAGTGTCAAATCAGTATTGCCAATTTTGTACTTTTTGGTTGTGCCTAAAAGTAGATATGCTCACTTTCAATTTGTCACCAAAAATAACCAGCAAGATAAAACTTATAGAGACTGTAATAATCTTAATTTATTATTATAATATAAACAGGTACCCGTCTATTCAAATATATAAATATGTATAATATATATAAATATATTCCTACAATATTCAGTACATAAATACTGAAGGATTATAGTTCTACTTCATTGCTTAGAAAAAAATCATACACATGGCAAGTACTTAGTGACTAATATCAGAAAATAACATCTTTAACGAACAGTTATAAACCTACATTAAGTACTTTTTTCGTTTCGTATTAAATGATAAAATATTTTATCTTAAAGATTAAAAATAGTTCATGAAACTGTTGACAAAACTGTTGACTTTAAAAATCGGCGATAAAATATATTCATTATGAATCTTATGTAAACTCATTATTTTCTGTTAAATAACGCTTAAGTGAGATAAGGATCTCGTTTAACAAACAACTAAAGACATCTACGAAAGTTCTTTAGGTTGCGATGTATTCAACGCTTCGACTATAAAGACCAACTCAACTAAGTTACCGGTAGGCAATTGCGAAATTTAGTGCGAGCGATACACAGCATCTCTTCAAATCAGAATTCCAACAAAATGAAATACGTGTCGGTTTTTTTTATTTTGTGTCTGGCTTGTCATTTATCAACACCTGTGAAATCAACTTTAACAGAAGACTTACAAGAGATCCTGGATTCAATAGATATAAAACCAATTAAGAAATTGGTTGCACGCTACGAAGAACAGATCCAATATTTTAGATGTGTTTTACATAGCAAAGAATTTGATGATATATTTGAAACCTTTGTGCAAGACTCCGCAGTAACTGATTTATTGATGTATTTAAAAAATTTACTAGAAATGTCGCTAGATAAATTTCTCGAAATGTTCATTTCCGATCCATCATTTTGCGGGTCGAATAGGTCGAATAGTGTTTTCGATTGGCCAGGATTTATTGCTGAATTTTTTGCCTACTATCCCGAACAACTTGTACGTAGTCATATTGCTGCCAAAGTTGCACAGAATGGAACATTTGCTCAGTTATGGACCCGTGTAAAAGCCGTGGGAGAAGCATATAATCGTGTAATGTCTTATCCTGCATCACAAGTAGTTATCGCTCAACTTGAAGCGATAGGCGTAAATACTACTGAAATCGATCAATTCATTCGTACACAACTTGATTGGGTCAATGTAAATACCACTACACCAACATCTGGGCAGGTAGTTTCTTCAGTATATGGACCACTTAAATATGAATCAGCTATATTTAGACCATCAAACTGATACTAAATTTGAAATAAACTTTATTATATTAAAGTAAAATATTTATTTATATTATGGCAGCTATTTTTGACTTAATAATTTATTCACTATTTATTAGATTTTTTAAAAGCATGGACATAGCATGGCTCTATGCTATATCCAGAAGAACAGAATCAATGCATACACACATTCATAATAATTGTGCAAACAACCTAGGACAGCACCATATGGTATTTAACAGCACCATTGACGAAATGTTATTTAAAACACAGAGACCAGTGATCTGGTTTTTAATAGAAATATTCACACATTGCGAGAGTCTATGATTTATCTATCTACTAGACGGGAGATATGTTTTGAAAATGATAGTGACCAATATTAGGAAATTAAATAGAAATATTAACAAGTTTGATTTAATTTTAGCAAATCAACCATGCTCTATGTATATCTAAAACTTGTTAGAACAATGGTTTTTAAAATTCCCGAGATAATCAACATTATTGGATAAAGATGCATTTGCCTTGTTTTATTGTAAATATGTAGAATGTCAATTGTATGCGTTAGGATAAAAATATATCATTCCAATCATTTCTTCACATCTTAACTTATAAAAGACTTAACAATCAATACGAAGAGATTTGTGGTATCTTCCATTTAAAAAAAAGCCTTAAATATTATATTCGTAACAAAAAATTAGTCTAAATATTAGGGTGTGTGAATATTAGTACACATATAAAGATAAATAAAAAAATAGATAATGGATAATGATCCGACGGCTCTTATTTGTGCTCCGTATTTTCCTGCAGACTTCCGATAAACAAATAGTTGTATACCATTCGGAATTGACCGTTTTACGTTCCTGTTATGGTACGAAAAAACATGCGATTATTTGTTTCGAAGTGTTTCGAACGCGAACAACTTTTGTTGGATTTGGTTCATCTTGAAACACCCATACAGTCGACTGCTGTTTGCATTCCGTCTCATACGCATATATCCATGTTATAATCATACATATGTCATATGCGTCTTTTGAAATACCGCCATTGTACTTCTTAAGCATTTGCGTGCACCAATCCACACAAGCATTTTTTTGAGATTTTGTCAAATGATGGGTGATCCAATATCCAACGAGAACAAGTCTTTCTCACGGCTAAATGATCGTGCAATATTTTATATATGCTGGTAGAACTAATGCCTAGGATTCCATCTCAATCTCAATCTCACAATATGTCACATGACGATCTTGCTTTATCAGTTTTGGCAAAACATTAATGTTTTTTGGCACAACAATTTATATTGGACGGCCTTCACGAATTTCGTCAGTGAGTGAACTGTGGCCACGATTAAAATCATTACACCAGGATTTCATAGTGGCAAAGGATGGAGCTTTATTGCCAAATGTGGAAGTAAGTTGTAAGCACTGTTATCTTGATTATTCAAGTCGAAAGTCGTAATAAATCATCGCTCGAATATTTTCTCGCGTTAATTCCATTTTACCTACATACCCATATTTCGATCCCTGCTCCTGTCAGCCACGGTCGGAGATCGATCTATGACCATTTTTTGCGATAGGCAAATAGTGAGTGGAACCTTCCCGTCTCAGCAGCCAGATCAAGGGCTACTTGGTCAATCAATTTCAGATATAGAAAGTGACTTAATTTACAGAAGCAAATCAGTGGTGTTTAGGTTCTATGGATCTAGACTCAATCTACCCTGTGGTACCTCTTGCAGTACGTGTCTACCAGCTCTCGAAGAAATGACACCAGAACACTTCATGTGTCTTTGTTCAGGTCTGGCTTTGCTAGGTTTAAGTTTCTAGGGGCCCACTTCTTCAATTCACTCGGCGATATCTCTAGCATTAGCATTAGCTAGATTCTTGCTTTTATAAATGCCTCTGGCTAGTTCTAGTTTGACCTTCTCTCTACTATCCACTATTACAAGGTTTTTGTGGATTTAAAACGGTTTTTTTAACTAATTGAGGAGGACTCGTCCTTCCTTCACCACAACTAACTAACTATTCCATTTTTTTGCGAACACTCAATTCACACATCACTGTAAACAACATAAATAACGTTCTTTTAACAAAAAATATTACGTAGTTTATGTTTAATAATGTCAAACTTTCGTATGTGGAAATGTCAGATGACACATGAAAACAATCAGTGTTGCCAAGGCACATAGTATAAATAGTGAACCTCGTTCCTGATAGATCCATAGCAGAGTTCTCTCTAACTAAAAGAAACTATTGTACTTGCAGGTACTTCTTTGTCAACAAATATTTTATCGTTTAAAGTGCAGATCATATATATCTTTACTAGGTAATATGAATGTATTGTGAAATTCGTACTTTTCAGTTTAAAATTACTTCGAATGTTATTTATTAAACAAAATTGTATTATGTTATATAGCTTAACAACATAAATAATATTACAAAAATAAGTAGAAACTCTTACAATTTTATTATAAACGTGTATTCTTTTTTTTTTGAAAATCAGTCTTAAATGTGTTCATGTGTTACATGAAAAGTCAATACCTCATTAAGTGGAAGTAAATTTATGTAAACATTAAAAAAAAGGCATCAATAAAATTCTTCAGATACTCGTACACAATTTCAGTAAAATTAAGTTTTTATTGATTGAAACGTAAGAGCAAGTTTTTTTTTTTGGCACAATTTCCAACAACAACAAATGTTTCCAATTACAAATATATAAATTAAATGTAGTTGAAATGTAGATTTGAACTATTTTAATCAATTAATTGATAGCTTAACCTCAAGGCTTTGTTTATGGTTAACTTGTTGTACCTGTCTAAGTTGAAGTGCACATACGAGTCTGCGGCGAATGGACTAGTTTCGAAGTGGTCAGTGGTCAGTTACTTGTTCTCTCTAGTAAAATTTACCATTACCAATTGCATGACGAACCGGCCAAGTGTCGTTGCTGTGGTTTCTAGAGCTAAATCAATTTTACAGTTAAAAGGTGTTTACCTGCTCAGTATGCACAAGTGACTCAAGTAGTAAAATGCATTTAACAAATTATTTTGTACAAAACTAGATTTTCTGTTTGAGCAAAATGAGCACAACTGTGAAAAATTGTGCTTAAAATGCATTCCAAATGTGTTCTGTAGGCATGGAATCGTTAATTGAACTACTTAACCATGCGGAAATGCGTAGACAGTGGAGAAAATTTAGATATTTAAAATTAATACAAAATTATGTTAAGTTTAAAACAGATTTATTTTTGAATTTCATTTAATTAAACTTAAGATACGACAAGGACATAGGACACAAAATATATGTAAAGTGAAAAAAAAAATAATAATAAAAAATGTAATAAAATATTATTAAGAAAATATTGGTTGAAAATATGTCAAACCGACGCAAAAGTGTACAGCGATTTCACCGAAGTCAAAGTTCCAAATGAAACTGGACATTATGGACATTATTACAAGCCAGTGATCTGTAAAATTGCAGAAAAAAGAAAAAAAAACTATTTAAATAAATAGTAAAATTGAAACCGTGTCAAATCTGCTAAAAGTGTGCTCGTTACTTAAATTACTAATGACTTTTAATAACTCCTGAGAATGTGTAAATATTTTTCGCTGCATGATTTACTCGTTAAACAAACTCAACAATAACAACAACAACAACAAAATTTAAATAAATATTTTTTTCTTTCAGTTTTTACTGCATAGCAAAAACATAAATTAAAGTGAAAAAAATGTTAGTTTAAAATATGCAACAAATTCATACAAGAAAACTTTTCATGTTGTTGTAAAATTCGTTGCTATTTGCTACCGAGTTAGGAGCAGCAGCTGTTGTTGCTAATGTTGCCGTTGACCGGAAAATCAACGTCAACATAGTGGTTTTACCGGTGTCGCAGCGATATGGAGGAAGATGTCTTGAATGCATTGCAGACGCGAACGGCCTACTTACCAGGCGGTTTTGATCGCGAGGGGAAAATAATTATTATTGTTAATATCATTAACGATTTACAGTTGTGGAATAGAAAATGTTTGGAATTATCGATTACGTATCTAAAACATTCTCTCAGGTTAGTGAAATTATTAAACATTACAATGAAAACTAACACGTTTTACTTTGTTTATGGTATATCAGGTATCATTATAATTAATTACATATATTATAAAATAACCAAGTAATTACTTCATACAAGAATATTGCATTTGTTACTGTTCATTTACATCATATGTATGTGCATTTATTTTAATAAGAAAGAACATTCTCTGTATTGGAACAGTTAGTTAGTTCATTTAAATAAATTATTTAATTCTAAATAATTATAATATATATAGATAAGTGTTCAAAGCGTGTGTAAAATCTAATTTGCTGTGTAGCTAAGATATGTGGTCGTTAACTAGATTTTAGTTCAGAAGATCCAAACTTTTATAAATAGGAAATTGCGACGTATTATCGGTGTAGGGTAACCTGCAAGAATTTCAAGTGAAGCCCTTTGGCGTCTTACCAATCAGAAGCCAATAGAGAAATAAATCTTACAACGAAAATACGAATGGTTAGTTCACACATTAAGAAAGTCAACGGATGCGATTGCGCATGTGAGAAGACCAGGTCGATCAAGACCAGGTCGGCGTAGGACAACAACGAAAGAAAACAGAAAATTTTTAGCCAGCTGAGTTTTACCGCTAGAAACAGGGACAAATGGAAAGAGTTTGTACCAACTATTTGTGAATAGGCTAAGTTCAAGATTTTATTTTGTAAATTGAGAATATGTCATAATAATAATAAAAATAATATAATATAGAATTATGATAGGTATTCTTAAGAATAATTAATGTGTTAATTAGAATGCAAGCTTTCAGAAAGAATAGGAAAACAGAAGGAATTTAAAAACTGTTTTTTTCTATTAAAAAAAAAATACCCACAGTTTGAGGTAGTGAATCAAATAATTCCTATTTTATAGATAATTTTAAGTCATTAAGAGCAGATTTTTAATTAATTAATAATGTTTTTCAATTAATTAATCAATTTATTCAATTAATCAATTAATTTAATAAATTTTTTTTCCTTAATAGAAACGCTTTTGATCAGTGATCCGTTATAGGAAAGTTTAAGAATCTGTATTATAAGATAGAGCTTCAATTTTTCATAGTTTTTTCCCATATTTTAGGCTCTGCATCCATATACGACAGTTCGTCTTTGGATCTACTATACATCAAATGCAATAATTTTTTCTGTTATTTGCAATTAAGTACTAATCCAATGCGATATGACTTCAAATGATTTGCTTCAAGCTAGAAAATCAGTATACAGCGGTATATGCCACAGTTAACCCAAAAAAATTAATAACTGCAGCCTTTTTCAAACAGAATTTTGTATATAAGCTTAATAATTAAATAATTCTACCAAAATCAAATATTTGACAGTATTATTTAAATTGAAAGTAACAGTCACGTGCCCATTAATCTATAATTAGTGTTTTTAGAATAATTTTATTTGTCTTGGAATGTCATAAACCTTTAAAAGATTTATTCATCGTACTACAAAATCGTATAAACTCAGTCATCTGGATTTTTTATGGAGTTAACTGAAGTCAATAGTCATTTTAGATAGATAAAGGGACGTTTCATTTAGAAGCCAACATTGTGAATTCTTATCACCTGATGATTTTGAATTAATTTCTATAGGAATACCTGAAGGCAATAGACTTCTCGCATAAACTAGAAATGGTCGTCTTGGAAGCCAATATTGTGGGATTGTATTTTCTGATATGTCTCTGGTAAATTAACTTCTAAGGGGGTGTCTGAAGTCAATAATCTTCTTGGATAAACTACAGACGGTCCTCTTGGAAGCCAGCATAATTAATTTCTATAAGGATATCTGAAGTCAATAGTCTAATCGGATAGAGTACATGCGGTCCGCTTGGAAGTCAATATTGTGAGATTGTAGCTTTTGACGTGTCTAAATTAATGTTTGTAGGAATATCTGCAGTCGTGGCGTGTCGTCTAACGTGTATATATTAATTTCTATGGGGATATTTAAAGTCAATGGTGTTCTTAGAAAAACTAAAGGCGGTCCACTTGGAAGGCAACATATTGAAATCGTGTCTTCTGACGTGACTTAATTAATTTCTATGGGAATATCTGAGTCAATAGTCTTCTCAGATAAAACAGTCATATTGAACCTCTTGAAAGCTAGAAATTCCTAAGTTATTGCTAAAATCAATCAAAACTTTTACTTTACACATATTGTCAAAATCGTATTAAAGCATTAATGGACACATTAGTAGAGATTACTAAAGATACATTTAATAATTAAAAAATAACATGTTGCATAAATTGATTTAGATTATTTTTTAAAAAACAAAAAAAAATTAATACAAATTTTATTCTCGCCATTATAAAAATTTCAAAATCTTAACTTTAAAGAAAAACATTTGCATACCTTTTCTAGATTACAAAAATTGTTCAAAAAATCTTTAATTCTAGAAAAAAATATGAATGAAAAAACTTAAATTTAAAAAATTTTTATTGTCGCTGATTAATCATTTAAATTAATTATATATATTTTTTTGCCATATGATTTTTATTAATTTTTTTCTTGGTTTCTCGATTAAACAACTTGTTACAAACGAAGATATTTAACAAAAGGTATTATGATCAATCAAGACAGGCATATAATTTTATTTTTATTTAAAAAAAAAAAATTGTTTTCTTAATTTGAGGCTTGTGTTAAAAAATTTTATTTAGTTAGATATCTTTCTTCTTTTAATTTTGAGCAAAAAATTCTGGACGAAAAGTTTTTGCCGTTGGAAGTTGTTAATCATTTCCTTAATTATTTGCTTTTATTATTCCAAGTATTTTAGTGGATGACTACAGATTCAAATATGTTAGTTTATTTTAAAAAATTAATTTTAGTCTATAATGAAATTCAACTATTCTGATTAAATAATAATAATAATTATATATAATAATATATATATTGTAATGAAAACTTAAAACAAATAAATTAGTAAGTGAATAACTAAGCACTTAATACGAGATTATAAAAATCAGATAATCTTAAATTTATATTAAAAGATAACATAATAGTAAATGAAATAGGTTGCTTTCTTTATCATTATTTTTCACATTTAGAGAAACAAATTTATGTTTAGCAATTAATTATTGATTTGGGATTTCGGTCGTAATTTTATTTTTAAAACCCATCAAATCATCCAAAGTAGTTTTAAAGAAGTAGCACATGTGTTTGTTCATTGAACTTTCGGCGAATATAGTAATTAAATGAGACAAAGTAAAATAAAATTTATATTTAAATAACAATTAAAATTATTTTAGGTTTAGAACTTTAATAAAATTTATATATTTTTGTCAGTATATCTCAAAACATTAACTTTCTATTTGTATGTGTGAATTACACTTGCAATAAAATTAAAAACAATATCGTTCACAAGTTTTTGTGAATAATTTGCAAACGGACTTTAGTATACTTTTTTAACTGACTATTAATTCGAATTATATTATAATTCGAATAAGAAATACATCGACCACACAAAGTTTGTTTCAAAGTTCAGAATATGCGCGGATAAAATTATTAAAATTAAATAAAAAGTTTCTCTATAACTCAGCAATTAGTTTTAGAAAAAGTGAATATATATTCTTAGAATCTAACACTCATCTCCACTCTATATGGTGCTTTCACATAAATTGAATTTGCTTAGGAGTCTATTTGAATGGTAGAGGAAAAATATATAAAAATATTCCCAATTATACTATTCTTAGTCAACACTTTCTAGAATTTTCTTTTGTTCAAACAGCAGAAAAATCAGTAGGTCAATGCCATAAATACTGCTATGGGTGTTTGCTAGTTATCTGAAGTGTCGTTCTAGTAGCGCTAAGTTGCAGCATTATATCCAGTTATTAATAAAAGCTTAAGAGACAATCATTATTTCCATAATATAGGTATAATTCATAGATATATGTGGTTGAATCGGTTGTTATTAGGTTATTCGCGGATTGAAAGAAAGTCCTATCTTATTTCGACTTGTCAGCAGTAACAGCATATCACAGTAGTCCGTCACGAACGATTACCGGAGTACAATGTCATTTTATTAAGTGGTATTACTGCGCATTTAGTAGTTTTAAATCCTTGAAGAGATTAAAGAAAGCGGAAATATCAATGGCGTGATACCGCCGCCATATACTCAACATATGCAACATTCTAGTATCGGGTCCAATGACTTCAGCATAAACTTGTTTACTAGTCTAAAAAATATCAGGATATCACACAATTATTTTGAAACTAAACATGGAAAGTCATTTTTCGATTCCATTCGATCAGGGTATGGGCTTTAAATTTTTGCTAAAGAAATAGATCTGCGATCTATTCTATCGCAGATCTCTATTATCTCTATTAGATCTCTATTAGAATTTTGCTCATACTTTAAATTTTTTTTTATAGAAATATGCAGAGTTATGAGTTATACATAGAAAAAAATGTAGTTGATCAATTTGCAATAAAATTATGAAAGAATCGTATGACTTATGTTAAGCTCCGTTAAACAAGTAGGCTATACTAAGTGCGTTTTTCAATTAGGTATCACATTAGATATTAGCTTCATCTTTCATACAGAGCTATTCCCAGAGTTATGACATATTTGATATCATTGGAATATCATAACTTTTATGTATATGCTAAATATTTAATTAGAAAATAAATAAATAAATTATTGAATTATAATACACATTTATAATTTATTTGTGTGAAGGGTTTTTATTAAAGATTCATTAATTCTAAAACTAACATTTTTCATGTTAAAAAAAATTGTTATGCAGATTTTTTAAAAAAATTGCTAATTCCATTTCAATTTTAGTGCATCAGTGCTGCAACAGGGAGTCACAATAATTGTGGATGCACAAAAAAGTACAACACGTATTACCCGCAGCCATGCGCGCATTATTTACGCACTTTTCGTTGATATCACAGTCAATTTGTATCTAGTCAGAGCAGAATGTTTCTGGGAGAAACATGTGGAAACATGTACCAAATCACACACCAAGGGTGAAGTAAGTAAAAAAATCAATTTACATATGGATTGTCAATTTAATCTAATATTCAATTTATGTAAAAAATGAAAAAAATTTTTAAATATATTTCAGCCCATTGCGCTGTCAAAGTCACGTCTGTCAAAATATTTCGATATGAGTAATTTGCCTGAAGAACTTGGCGGTACATTGCAATTTAATTACGATTTATGGTTACAACAGCGAAAGGTTAATAATACTCATATACATGTATTAACATATATATTTTGAAATATAGAATCAATTATATTTGTAATTTACATAAAATATTATTCTGTTATGTTATATATTTTAGTCTATTGATGAATTTAAGAAAGTTTATCAACAAACCATTAGCGCAATGGAAGCATTACATGTGCTACTTTTAAGTAATAAGTCATTGAGGCCAACGGAAGCAGATATTGAGCTCAAGAAGTGTACACAAATGCACGCAACAGTACAAAGGAGTATTGAGGAAGCAGTAGAGTTAGGTAAGTTTTAATAAGAACTGAGCCATATAATGGAATAATTTTAAATACATATTTTTTTATCCTGCTCATGTACTACAATTCTCATTAGCTTTAATAATAATTATTTATTTAAGCAATGCATTCAGCATTCTCAGAAATCACTTTTAATACAAGTTTAATATTGAATAAAACAGTAAGAAGTAAATTTATACATTTGTACTATATAATATACTACGTGTACATATGTTTATTAACAATTGCATATAAACTTAATAACTATATAATAAAGTTTTGAATTAGAAACTTAGATACTAGATACGTAGCATAGCGTTCTTATAAAGTAAATATAGAGATTGTTATATAGTGTTTTCTTAAAACTTAAGATCAAAAAACTGTCCTAATAGATAGTAGATAAAAAATAAATGATAAGAGACGAAGTAAATAGATTGTAAATATCTTCAATATAGTTACATTTTTAAATATAGTTAGAAAAGTGGAAAAATAGTGTCTCTATTTGTAGAATAGAGAAGTGGAAGAAGAAGTAGAAGTTAAGTTGTAAGTATATAATTAAAACAAAACAAGTTAACTCTTCAATTTGG